CAAACCGGCACCCGGCAAACCGGCACCCGGCAAACCGGCACCCGGCACCCGGCAACCCGGCGCTCAGCTAAATATATTCGAGATATTTCGAGATATTGTTTTATTTCAATTTGCTTTTGAAACCTGCCCGCTCCGGACCTTGAGTTGTCAGAAGGAATGGAAGGGGTCGGACCTCAGAGCGAGACACATATGGGCACAACAAATCGACCAGTGGGTGAATCGCAGGGAATGCGCAACAAGGATCACGATACATGAGTTGTAGAAGCCAGCACTTCTCAGGTTGCACGACTGCATGAGAACTCTGGTTGATCATAATTATAAGGCAATTCTCTTCTCACACAGACACCGCTGCCTTTTGTCGTTCGCCTTGGCGCGCCTGAGCCTGAGCTTCCTCGAGCCCAACTGAAAGGTTATCCTTTCTTCCCTATCGATCGGAAGGCATCAGGTTGAAACGGAAGGCATTGAGTCATGAGTCATGAGTTGATTTTTTGTAATTCGTAAATCTGGCCTGCTAAAATCCTTACAACATAGTCAACGTTTGAAAGCGCCTGAAGAAATCAACAAAATACTGTTGCCTTCACCCAGCTGTGACTCACAAGAGACGGATCACTTGGTTGGTGTCCATGGACAAGTTCTTCGACCCCCGTAGGAAATAGAGCGGTTTACCTGCCAGGCAGTTCTGATTAACGATGAGTTCAATCCCAGAAAACACAGTGCATGCAGAATGGGACATGCATTCGAACTGGGCAGGATCATGGACTTCGATTTGCTGCCAAGAATCGAGGTGTCAACTCCTCAATGAGTCGGGATATCATGTCTAGATCTGCTATGAGTGCTGCATGGGCATGGGACTGACTGGTTCAGAGTTCCAGTTTGCTTTCAAGAACTTGTTGCAGCTTAAGCACGTTGATATCCTTCAAGTAGGCAACACGCCACACGCAATGCAGCGAGCGTGATACCTCGAACGCCTGTCAAAGGAGAGTTGGAAGTCTATCACATTTTATCAATGTGTCATCAACTGTTGCGTTTCATCAAACATCAAACTACTGTATGGCACCTTCTCCGGGAACAGATTTGCGAGGGAGGAATACTTCAAAGAGCCACTGTTTGAAGGTGGAGTCCATTGGAAGTACACCGGGGTCGGTTTCGGCTTCAAATCGAAGAAGTCCGCACCTAGCTAGTTCAAGAGCTGGAATGACTTAAACCATCTGGTGACAGAGAGAGAGAGAGCGCAGCAATGAACTGAGGCTGAAGCTGTCGTCTTTTGATGCTTTATCACCAGAGGCGGGCGGTCGGTGGCACTCATGACCATTCAGAGTGACCTCAATGACACCTTCTTCTTCCATCTCGTGGAGAAGCGACCTGTAAGAGGATACCTCTGCATCGCAAGTACCTTTGCCGGATTCGTTGGGCATCTCCAACACGACCCGTTCTAGGTCGCTCCTGACCACGAACGTCTTGACATGATCAAGCTCACCTGCACCAGAGTCAACAAAAGATTTTGTTGCGAACCTTTGATCAAGCCACCGTGTGCTCGTTTAAAGGTGTTGTTGCCACTTGAGATAGGCTAGGCTTGGTGCATCACACTGCGACTGACTTTTCCGCATCCTCTGAATCGGAGATTCTGATAGCATCTTTTGGAGCAGTGTTTACACTGCCAAGAAATCTAAAAAGATAGTTGCCGCTGCTCTGCAGGCAGTGCGTTTCATGAGGGTTCAACTGCCTTGAGAAACCCCGCCCATGCACTGCTAGGCTGCTAGTCACAGCGTATCCCCATACAGCAAAACCACCAGCAAATTGAAAAATATAGCACCATCAAAACTTTTTTGATTCAGTGATGATTGAAACTCTGAGCATGGTGTTCTCGCTGTCCCCCAAAACTCACCATCCAACATAGAGACCTAGAGACCTTCTCACTGCTTCTAGAGGCGTCTTCTGCAGCGTTGGGTCTGAGTCATGTTGCGGATGCTGTTGGTGCGGGTCTCGGACACCTTCCACCTGATGCGGAGAGAAGGGAGCATTTTTTCAAACACCAACGGTTGTTTGGAGTTGTATATGTTTGGGACTATTTTTTGATATCACTAAGTTTGATGTCTGGGGTCCTTACAAAGCCCTGGCTTCCTGCAAGACTTCTCTACCGGTCCATCCAGGGTTTGCATCTTTCAGTTCCTGCATCTTATCCTTGATGAACTGGTGGTAGGCATCTCGCATCAGGTCACCCTGGCGGGAAAGTGAATGGAAGGCTTAGAATAATGCATTCACATCCCAGACAAATCGGTTGAGAGGTGCCCAAATCCATCACGTCAATTACAGGGATCGATAGAACAGTGAGAAGTGAACAGCGGATGCATAGAAGAGGTGACCATGAAGTTTTGGCAGCGCCATGGGTAAAGTTTTTGAGAGGCCTTGGAAACTCTTTTTGTTTTCTTGCCGTTCTTTGGCTTCTCATCCTCCTCACTCTTTTCCATCTCCTCTTCACTTTCATCCCCTTCACCTTCTGATTCACTCTTCTCGGCCTTGATCTTCTTGCTTTTCTTCATCTCAACCTTCTTGTCTTTCTTTCCAGCCTTTGTCATCTTGGCTGAACCCTCCTCCTCAAGACCCTCATCTTCTTCTTCCTCCTCTTCCATTGCTTCCTCCTTGGAACACTTTGCAATCTTCAGCTTCTTCTCTTTCTTGTCTTCCTTTGAACGCTTGCGGGTCTCTGTTCCCGCTGTCTCCTCATCCTCACCCTTCGCCCTCTTTCTCTTCTTTGAGTCAGTCCCGCTGAACTTCCCACTGTTTTTCTTTGCAACCTCTGTCTTCTCAGCTGTCTCCTCAATACCCTCATCCTCATTCTTCTTAGTATTCTTTGTCTTGTTGCTTCCCTTTGAGATCTTCCGCTGCTCTGCTTCATCCTCTTCCACCTCCTCTTCCACCTCCTCTTCCACCTCCTCTTCCTCTTCGTCCTCCTTGGGAAGCTTTGCAATCTTCAGCTTCTTCTCTTTCTTGTCTTCCTTTGAACTCTTGCGGTTCTCTGTTGTTCCTTTCTCCTCATCCTCATCCTTCACCTTCTTTCCATTCTGTGGGTCTGTCCCGCTGAATTTCCCACTCTTCTGGGGCTTTGTCTTTGGTGTCTCTGTCTCTTCCAGGTTCTCCTCGACCTTCTTGTCTTTCTTTGCAACCTTTGTCTTCTTAGCTGTCTCCTCAGTACCCTCATCCTCATTCTTCTTTGTCTTCTTTGTCTTGTTGCCTCCCTTTGAGATCTTTGGCTGCTCTGCTTCATCCTCTTCCACCTCCTCTTCCTCTTCGTCCTC